CTCTCCACTCAAGGTTCTTCCAACCTCTTCTCTTCACTCGTTCTTCTCAGTGAATCAGGTAAGTCTGAATCTGCTCTTTACAGCTGTTGGACTCTTTGCTCTACAATTTAATCTAAGATGGTCCCTTCCATTAAGAATTACTGGGTAAAATTTTAGGTGGAAAGGTTAAGATTATAAAAATGCTTAAAAAATGTTATGATCAGCTGTTCTCTGCATTAGGGTGGGCATTTAATTTCAAAGCAAACCGGAATTTTTTTGATATGGCAGAAAATTAAGTTCATTATTAGTTCACTTCCAACAGCTGAAGAAAATATGTCACTTTGTTTATATGGGTAACCAGAATTTGAAAAATTGAAAATCTTCAGGGTTTGCAGGGAAATGCTGAGCTAAGAAGCAGTTTATTCTATTACAGATCACTCAAGGTTTTGCTGGGTTTTTTTTATTTTACACTAATTCAAGATAATAGGGCATGAATACCACCAGAGATCAGGCTTAGATAGAGTAGGACACAGAGAGGAAATGAGAGCTGCTGAAAATATTCTGTAAGAAATCTATTTAACTAAGAGAAAGAGGGGTCATGGAGGGAATTTAAGGAGATGACAGGTGAAGTGCTGGATTTCCTGTGTTAACAAGAGCAGGTTGTTTGGAGGGAGATTTTTTTCAAAAGAGTTCTGAGCCCAGAATCAAAACACTGTGTTGTTCTACTAGTTGTAAATATCTCAGTGCCCTGATTCAATGTTTGGAAATTGGGGACAATAATTTTTGCAATTCCCTTGTAATGGTCCCATCAAACAAGTTAGTGAGCAAATCTGAATAGATAATGACTTCTAATCCCTGTTCTCACAAGGCTCAGCACAAAGGAGATCAGTGGGAATGAAGAATTAAGAGTCATGAAATCATGCACATCAACACACTCCATTCTTGGGAGTCCCAGTCTTTGTTGATCCACTGACTCACCAAAGCATCTGAGCAAATAATTTTGTTCTTCTGCTTCAATTTTCATTTCTGATAGCCAGGGGGTAAATTGGCGTACATCAAAGAACTCTTGTCTGAGGAAAGGCAACGAACTCTGCAGCACTTTGATGTGTGTAAATAACATCTTGGTAAAATCAACTCTTGTAGATTGACCTTCATCCCTGCAAGAATGTCCTGCTACGACCTGTGCACCCCCTCTGTCTGCGGCGTCAGCCGCCCCCAGCCCCTCGCTGACAGCTGCAACGAGCCCTGTGTCCGTCAGTGCCCTGACTCCACCACCTTGATCCAGCCACCTCCTGTCATCGTCACCTTCCCTGGCCCCATCCTCAGCTCCTTCCCCCAGGATGCTATTGTGGGATCCTCTGGAGCACCCAACCTTGGGGGTTACGGGAGCTCCCTTGGCTATGGGGGCTCTGGCTCCCTGGGCTACAGGGGTCTGTATGGATATGGAGGCTCCTCCCTTAGTTCTGGGGGTCTGTCTGGCTACGGGGGCTCCTCCTTTGGCTATGGAGGTCTGAATGGATATGGGGGCTCCTCCTTTGGCTATGGAGGTTCCTCCCTTGGCTATGGGGGTCTGAATGGCTATGGGGGCTCCTCCCTTGGCTATGGGGACTCATCCCTGGGCTATGGGAGCTCCTCCCTGGGTTACAGGGGTCTGTATGGCTATGGTAGATCTTACAGTTCTGGCTCTTGCAGCCCTTACTCCTACCGGTATAGCAGGTACAGACGTGGCAGCTGTGGACCCTTCTAAATCGTACAGAAATATCCCTTGACTAAAGAATGACAGGCCATGCACAATACAACCTTGATCCTCAACTGAGCTCCTGAGTAAGGAGCAGAGCATTGAAGACCTGCTTAATACAATGGACTCAGAATAGCTCCATAAATTCCCCTTCTTATTTCTTTCTTCATTTAATCTCCTCTTCCTTGCCTGTGGCCAAATGTGTAACTCCACCATCATCCCAGAGGACACTTGCTTCTCCTTGAAAATGCCATCACCTGGGAGCAGCCTGAAGGAACAGCTCTTTTGAAGCCCACAAGGACAACCCACCTGCCTCTGCCCTGTGTGTCTTTCTCCACTAGGTGTTTTCCTACAGTCCAATAAACCAATATTGCATCCAACACCTGTCTCTCCATTTTTCCTTTCCTAGAAATCATCAAACTGTTCAAAGACAAAGTAAAAAAAAAATATGGCCTGAAGTTCTGTCAAAGCACATTCTGAAAAGGAACAATAGGAGGAAGGTAAACAATGGGAAACAACTTTTAAGATAGGTATCTGATGAGCAAAGATCAAGCACTGCCTCTTCCTTTTTTTCTTAGTCACTGCTGTGCTAACAGTTGCCTCAGGGAAGTTTTGGCTGAGTCTGTAACTCAGTTGGCTGAAGTAAAGAGAAGAGGAACAAACACATTGCAGAAGATTTACCTGTTCCTTCACGGAGTCTTTTCCAAAGAAAAGCTCCATGTACAAACGTACAATTTCTTGATCTCAGCTCTCTGTCAGTGAGAGAATCTCACTTTTATTTTTAAAAACTACTATGTTATTTAAGTTAACAAATACTTATTGCCAATCTTTTGCCCCAGAAAAGCTCTTCACTGAAAGATTCTCCCCTCTCTGCCTGCTTCATCCTCCATGTCCCAGCCCTGACTATCCTCACAGCCCTGGGCTTTTTGGGAAAGGTCTGGGAAGAGAGCAGAGCTTGCAGGACTCAGCTGAGAGCCCAGCCATGAGTTCCTGGGATATGTGAAGATCTCAGGCAGCTGAGGTGGAGAAGAAAGGCTCCTGCCTTTTGGGCACAAGGAAAGGGCTCTCTGTCCCTGCTGCTACTTTACATCCTCACATGGCTTGAGGCAAGGATACTGCTGATATGAATTCCCCAGAGCTCAGCAACCATCCTCCTGGCTTGTGCTGCACCAGCCCTGTGTCTCCTTGGCTCAGGTATCTCTCTTGTGCTGAGCAAAGCCATCTTTCCACCCATCTGGTTCAACCCAGGGCAGTTCCTGGGGCAGCTTTACAAAACACAGATGCCTGGTTTCCTCTCCACTTTTCTGCTCAACACCAGGATCCTCATGCTCATATGTAACCTCTAAGAGGTACCTCAGTGTAAATGATACATGATCACAGCTGAGCACTTGAGCTCCCACTGCCAACTTCTCCAGTGATTCTCTCAACGAGGGAGGTACCAGCCAGCACTCAATTAGATGTGTATTGTGTCAGACAGCAAGTGCCTAGCCCAAGATAAGAAGATTGGTGAGAGCACCCAGCTAACATGATTACGTAGCTTCTATTTCAGCTGGATGCCTGTTCGGGGTGACCTCATGTCTGATTGTGAAATAGTCCATGGAGATACCCTTTCTGTCAGTGTCTAATGTTATGTAGGAGTTATAGGAACAGAATATGTTTACTACATCGGTTACTCAAGGATCAGCCTCAGAAAACCTCTAATTATTTGTTTGCCTTAATGACATTGGCACATAAATTGGGAGCACTCTGTTTTATGTGCTGATAACATAAAGCTGAGTGGCATTAAACAGGAGGGAATCAGACTTTAAGACTGGAAAAACGAGGTGGCTTAACTGATGGGAGTAAGAGTAACCGTATGATCTTCAATAATACGGTACAAAGCCATGTACCTGCTGACTACGGAGGAAAGATCTGGTGTAACACAGGCTATAATCAGAAAGAAGAGTCAGAAGAGGAAAAATTCTTTGAGTAGCCCCAGATAGGTGATGGTAAGGGAGATTGCATGCTCTTCAGTGAATCCACTGTCAATACAGAATAGCAGAGAGCAGTGGTAATATAAGCAGAACCTGTAAAAACAAGGTGAAGAGTATATGCAATTTTCCTTCTCCTGCCAATGTGTCACTCCTTCTCCAAAAGACATGGTGAATCCAAGAAATTTAAATGGCACTCATCTTAACTAAGATGATCCTACGTGTATTACAGCACCACAAGTATCATCTTCTGGAATACCATGAAGACTAGCTAAGACATAAGCTTCAAATGTATTAATATTGTGGACCAAATATATATCTGTACATATATTTAAGTATCCATGTATTTCTTGAAGAGACATCTGTAGTCCAATCACCTGCTCTCAATTTCTTGCTACACTAATGTAATTGAATCATTCATCGAACCTTTTAGGGAAATGATTTTCCCAGAGCTGAGCACCACTCATCTAGAGATGGAGAAGGATAAACTAGGAAATGCCTCTTCACTCATGGATAAAGCAAGAAGTATGATATCCCCTGGTGAAATATGGAGCAAACATGCATTTGTCCTCCCACACATGCTAGACATCAAAATTCAGACAAGGAGAGAGGGAGACACAAGTCGGATGCAGGAAATCTTTATTGTGTCAAAAAGGGCAGGACAGACACTCGGAGAGACAGTTGGCAAGACCCAGAGAGGCTGGTCGCCACACATTCTGGAAGGCAGAGGAATCTTCTCCAGAGCATCACTTCTCACTCTGGGCACCTCTTCGGTATGGAATTGAAGATCCTGAAGGTTTCATCCATCATCCCAGCCAAGATTTCAGATCCACCTTCTTCCCCAGGTGAACGATGGGAGGAATGGGGAGGGGAGAACAGCAGAGGGAGTGAGAAAAAAGGAGGGAAAGGACAATGCCAAAGCAATGTCTGGGGCTGGGGGTACTGAGCGCTGCTCAGTGCCCTGTGCCCGCCA